CCTTGGAAGCAAGAATGGCCAGACTTCGTCTCACCTATTTTGGTCATGTTGTCAGAAGGGACCATTCCCTGGAGAAGGATGTCATGCTTGGTAGGGTGGAGGGTTGACGAAAGAGGGGGAGGCCTTCAACGAGATGGATGGACACGGTGGCTGCGAGGATGGGCTCAAGTATAGCAGGTATTGTGGGGCTGGCGCGGGATTGGGCAGTGTCGCTATGAGTCGGAAATGACTCGACGGCACTTAACAACAACAACAACAACATAAGTCTCTCAGTCTGTGGTATCTTGTTATAGTCACAGAGAACAAATAATACTGATGCTTCATTCCTATCCGGACTGACTCTAGTCTGACAACTTGGAAGCAGTATAGATTGGCACACTTGAGAGGGTCCATCAGCTCTGTTGCTGATTGGCTGTATGCCACTTCTCTACTTGGAGTCTCAGTTTGCTCCCCCATGATACGGGAACAATACTGTGATCTTATTCCCAGGGATGCTCTGAGGATTAAATGGGATAATGACATTACGGAGCAGTCTTCTGAAACAGAGAGACCTTAGGAAGACCCTGCTTAGCTAAGGGCATGGGGAAAGAGAATGGAGATCACATCAAATACAACCAAACTGGAGAATGAGGACATACAGAGCAGTGTTCACTCCTTCTTCAAACATTTATTGAGCATCTGCTATATAAACAACACAAACAAGAATCAGACACAGACATTTATGGCATATAAGAGAAGACACGAAACACACTCAGTGTCCAGTTTGCCGTACTTCACAGGCAGATATTTACATGGGGGACCAGGAAGCGACTGTGATACCTGGTCCTTGTTCTCCCAAATGGTGCCAGAGGGACTGCAGAGATGGTGCCAACAGAGTGAAGAGCCATAGAAGAGAGACAGGGAATGAGCTTAGGGCATTGAGAGGGGTGCAAAGTAGGACACGTGGCCTCAAAAGCTTTCACAGAGAGCAGTCTGGGGCTGAGGAAAGAACCAGAACATTTCTGCCTGGGTTTCCAATATTTGTAAGGCTCCATGGAAGAGCTGAGAGCTGAGAGTGAGGGAGACTTGGAAGAGAAAGTAAGTCTTAGCTGTCCCCCTGTACTGAGGGAAAGAGACAAATGTGGCCAGGGTCAAGAGAAACTCCTAAACCATGTCTGCTTTGCCTCTCAGTTCAAGGTTGGGGTTCCAGAGCCTATCAGGCTGTACGACTCAGGGTTGTGGCTCAGGGTAGTGTCCTGGCTTCTGAGAATTCCTTACCTTCAGCAGAGAAACTTTCCTGAGGCTGAACCTGCTGGGCAATGGACCACCTTTGCAAGCTAACAGTGCTCTTTCAGCTGCCTCCTCCTTGCCCAGGGCTGATGGCTTCACACCCCCGCCCACTTAGAAGGGCTTCAGGGATTAGTGGGCTCCCTCACTTACCTCCTCTTCCACATGCCAGGGGATATTCTGGGATGAATGATAGTATCAGACATGTTTATGATTCATTCAGGCCATTACTCCTTATCCTCCTCTGCACCTCTCGACACCACTCCCACCCCAACCTCCATTCAAAGCACTTATTCTTTTCCCAGGCCTGGCTCCTCTGTTGTCTCTGTGCTCAGGACATGTGTTCTCATTCAGCCTCTTTGAGCACTTTACCCCCCTTCTTGGCACCTGGCATATGAACCAACAGTAATCAAAAGTTTGGGCTTTGGAATCAAGAAGTTGCAGTTTGAAATGCTTGCTATGACACCTTACAAGCTGTGTGACCTTGGGCAATTTCCTAATCTCTCTGATCCTCAGTTTCCTCTGTACAATAAGGGTAATATTATACATCTCAAAACCCTTTGTGTGGCCCTAGCATATTCAAAATGCTGTGTCTGCCTCAATGTGTGTTCAGTAAGTGCCAGCTCATTATCATTCTTGCTCTACAAGCTTTGGAGTTTATTTCTTTCCCTCAGAAATCTCTGCACTTCCGTGCGCATATTTCCCTATTGACTACTATTGACAACTTCTAGGCCCAGTGCTCAGCTTCCAGCACACTCTTTCTAGGCAGTCTTCTAGGCAATTCTGTACCCCTAGTCCTCCTCCTCACTACCTTCTTAGTGCTGGGGTTGGGATTATGCTGAATGCATGCTTGCCTGGTAGATATCTTTCAGGCAGCATATCTGGGTCCTTTTTCTACACACAAAGCAGTTCTATGAGAGCAGAGACCAGGAAGCCTTAAGAGTACCAGCTCAGAGCTGGGCACACTGAGTCCAGATTATCAATAAATATATTTAATCTGATTCTCCTTAAGATGCATAGTGCTCTTCTGGGTGGGCAGCCTAACACTTTATAACAACAACAACAACAAAATCTGTTGTCATCAAGATAATTTCAACTCATAGGAACCCATGTGTTAAGAATAGAATTGCTATAGGGTTTTCAAGGCTGTGACCTCTCTGGAAGCAGATTACCAGGCCTTTCTTCCACGGTTTGGCTGAGAGGATTCAAATCACAAATCTTTAGGTTTGTAGTTGAGTGTTGTTTGCACTACCCAGGAACCTACTTTATAACAAGAGCCAGTAAAAATTCACCTCAACCTTGATAAAGGATCCGATTTGTAAGAATTAAAAGTTAAATGAACTGATGTTTTATGGGATCTCTGTTTTATGTTAAGAATGACCCTAAAAACAGTTTGTATGTGAAGAGTGATTATGAAAGAATGTAGAAGGGGGTGAAAATTGCTTATTGATCTGGAATATGCACAAGAAGTTATCAACCCTCTCGGTTTATAGATGAGGAAATGGAGGCTCAGAAAGGTAAAGTGACTTGCTCAAGGTCACACAGCAAGGAAGAGCAGTGGCTTCTGACCAGGTTTTCTGACTCCAAGTTGAATGTTTTTACCTCCCACATCTTGTATGGGTTTATGGCGTTATTGGTGTAACTTTCTGCAACATTCTGGTTTAAATAATAAACCAGAATGATTTTAGAAGTGACTATTGCCCTCAGTTCTATTTAATAAGCTTTCTTTTCTTTTCTTTTTTTTAAACAGGGGGTTAATTAATTAATTAAAATTAAAAAGCAATGCAATGTCCCTTAAGAATTGTGTGTGCGTGATAAGCTATTATTTCTGATTCAGAATACTTGTGGCTTCCAGACAGGGCTGATGTTCTGGGAGAGCACTCCATGTCCTACCCTTTTAGTTTAGGGCTGGCCCCACACTCAACTGGAGGGGCTGGGCTGCAGCAAGATAGCTGAAAGCTATAGTAATGGTTCCTTCTTTTTCCTGTTGCTCCCACAAAGCATTCCTTTGCACACGAGGGAGAAATGAACTGCAAAATGACCCACTTTTAAAATAACACCAAGAAAAGTAATCAAGGTTTGGACCCACTTATGAATGACTGAAGTTCTTCCCTTTAAAAAAAAAAAAATTCTTTTGAAGTGGGCAAGCACCAAAAGAAACTAATTCTTCCATATTGTGGTACTTTAAAGGAATAATAATGTGGTCCACATACAGAGAGGGGCCCAAGGACTCTCTTTCCATCAGGAGCTGGCTGTGAGCACACCCCCAATTGCCAGACTGTTCTGGGATGACATATCTGCAGACATTTGAGTTGACCTAAGGTTCTGCATGGGCTCCTGGTTTGGACACCAGGCATGGAGGAATGGGTTTTTTCCTCTACATTCATGCATCATGTCTTCCTCCATTAGAAGCATCACACATAGAATTTATATGCAGATCTTTGCAAGGATGTAAATATGAATTCTGACCTCTGGCCATTTAATCTCCTTAAGTGTGTGATTAAGGATGATGGCTCTGTGTCAATATGAAGGCGCTCTGGTGGTGGAGTGCCTAAGGCTTTTGACTGCTAAGCAGAAGGTCAGTGGTTCAAACCCACCAGCTGCTCCATGGAAGGAAGATGAGTCAATCTACTTCCATAAAGATTTACCACCTTGGAAATCAATGAGGGTCGCTAAGAGTCAGAATTGACTCGATGGCAGTGAGTTTGATTAAGTGTCAATATGAGAATCAAATGCTGCTTAAATTGGTTGTCTTCTGATTTACCTTTGGGGTGCTTCTGGGGAGAAGGGGGAGAAGATTCTGACTGCTAAGTTTTAACATCATGCAAGCACTGAAGAAATACTTCAAATACACATCAGTCACTGGGTCTCGAGAAGGGGCCACTGAAGTCATCTACATACCCATCTGTTACATCAGTTCTATCTAACATTCTATGTAAGTGCATTCAGTCTCTGCTGGAATACCTCCAAGGACAGGGAACTCACTACTTCATTAGGCTCAGGTGCTCAGAAATGGAAAAGTCCATCATAACTAGGGATTGAAATTTGCTTCCCATGACTTCTCTCTCATAGGCCACTGCTGTTCCACCCAGCATGCTGTGCAGTTCAGCCCCTCTATCTGTTCCTCACATCCTCTCTTCATGCAACATCTAGCATTCTTGGATCAGAGCTGAATCAGTGCTGTTTGAGGTCTGGAGTGGACATGCAGCAGGCAGGCCTTGTAGAGGAAAGCTCAGAAACCATCAGCCATCAAGGGCTGCCTTTGGGCCTGATGTTCCTCCACCTTAGGTGTATACATCCCCAGGCCCCTCTCTCACAGCTCCCTTGTAAAAAAATAAATGGAAAACTCAAAGTAGGAATAGGACTGTTAAGTCTCTTTAAAAGCACTAAATGGAGCTCACAGTTTACAAAGGTTGTCCCAAGAGTTGTCCTGGCAGGTCCCCAATTTCCTCTAATTCCCACTCCTCCTTACACAAATGGGAAAACAGGCCAGAGAAGATGTGACTCACTCTGGGTCTCACAGAAGGTTAATAGCGAACTCTCAGTCTTATCTCCACTTCCAGCAGGTCAACCATGCCCCTGTGAGAGACCCCAGAACACGACCTTAAGTCAAACACTGCTTCTTGATGTCATCATCCCAATCCCAAAGGGCACAGTCTGCCCCACCTCCTTGGTACTGATGCAGTGGTGGATGGCTCTCTTTGAGGGGTGTGCAACATCTAGCATTCTCAGAGTCACACCTGAATCAGTGCTGGTTGGGCAATGTGGATGGTGGGCGCAACCACTGGACCTGGTGGGAGGTCCGCGGGATCCTTCTCGCGGCAGCACCTCTCTCGCAGGCACTGGCCGATGTCGCGGCGCAGCAGGCAGTAGATCAATGGGTTGAGGCAGCTGTTGGCGTGTGCCAGGCAAATGGAGACTGGGAAGAGATAGGCCTGTGCCAGAAAATAGGCGCGGTCCCAGGTTATGGCGTCCAGCTTGATCAGCACCCCCCAGAGCGTGAGGGCTTGGTTGGGCAGCCAGCAGAGCATGAAGGCCAATAGCACGCAGGCCAAACGTGAGGTGACCCGGGAGCGCCGTCTGGGCCGGACCCCCGACGGCCTGGGTGCCCGCCGCTGCCGCAGGAAGCTCAGTAGCAGCAATGAGTAGGTGCCCAGAGTAGCCAGAGGCAGCACGAAAGGCACGGCGATCTTTTGCAGGTGGTAGAGCGCCAGCCAGTCCTGGCCGCGGTCGGGAAAGCAGAGCAAGCACAGGGGCTCGCCCCCCACGCTGACGGTGGTGGCGAACAGAGTGATGGGCGCTGTGGCCAGGATAGCTGCGGCCCAAATCAGGCAGCACACGCAGGCAGCCCGCTGGGCGTCCGGACCACTTGGGCGCAGCGCGCCCACCACTGTGCAGTAGCGCGCTACGCTCATGGCGCTGAGGAAGAAGCTGCTGGCGTACATATTTAGCACGGTGAGTGTCAACACCACCTTGCACATGGCACCACCGAAGGGTCAGCTGATGTCACGCACCGTGTCCGCGGCCCAAAAGGGCAAAGTCAGCACGAACTGCAGGTCGGTGGCTGCCAGGTTGAGGAGGAAGCAATTCAACAGTGAGGGGCGCCGCCGCTGCTGGGAGCGCACCAGGACCAACACTAGCACGTTGCCCACCAGCCCTACAGCACACAGGGCCAGGTAGGCGCCTGCGATCAGCGCCCTCAGCGCCAGCGCCGCGCCTGCCCCGGTCGCCCCCTCCAGGCAATCCAGGCAGCGGATACCCCAGGCCGGGCGAAATTCTCCGATCCGTTGCCCTCGGAGCTGCTAAGGAACAGCCCCGACGCCGGGACTTTCACCCAGCTCACAGAGATTACAGACTGGATGGCGCGGACGACGCGACAGCTGCCTCTGGTGGACTCCATCGCCTTTAGTGGGGGACGCAGGAGTCCAGCCAGGTCACTCAGTGGCGCGCAGCCGACACACTAAGCCAGAGGTGTTCACTCCTCGCGACAGCACTTTTTAAGAACCGAGACCTCCCCGCTGGCTGACGATTGGCTAACTTCTTCCACGGCCCGGTCCCAAGAGCCTCCAAGCTCTATTTCTACTGGCTGCTTTTTCATCCTCGATTTCGTGGATAACCTGGGATCCCCTTTGCCAGTGAACTGACACCTGCGAGACAGAGGAGGGAGCTTCCGCGATTCACAGGAAAGCTGGACGGTGGCAGCCAGTGCCCTGGTGAGGATTCAGCAGTCGCTCTGGGGGCAGCTCCGGCACTTGGGACTGAAGGAGAAGTGGGCACCCATATTCCGCCTCGGAAAGCTGCGAGTGTCTCCACCTTCTCTCTGATAAGGCCATTTTTCCTCCTTTGCTTCCACTAAGGCACTTGACTGCTAACCGGAAGGCTGGTGGTTCAAACCCACCAGCCACGCCTGGGAAGGAAGATTGGGCAATCTACTTCCATAGTGATACCACCTGGGAAACCCAAGGAGGGTTCACTATGAGTCAGATTTGTCTAGAGTTGAGTCTAAGCCCTGATATTTAAAAATTTTTATTGTGGTGAAAATATACACAACATAACACATACCACTTCAACAATTTCTACATGTGTAATCCAGTGACACTGCTTACACTCTTCAAATTGTGCAACCATTCTTGCCATCATTTTCCAAATCATTCCACTACCATTGAAATAAACTCAATAATTCCTTAGCAAAAGCTCCCTCTTTCCCTCTTCCCCCCAATAATCTTGTTTCTATATATTTGCTTCTTTCATATAAGTGAGATCATTCAGTATTTGTCCTTTTATGACAGATTTCATTCAGCATAATCTCTTCAAGGTTCATCCAGGGTGTGCTAAGTGTTTTGTGCTTAGCATGCTGTTGTTGTTATGTGCTGTCAAGTTGGACCCAACTCATAGTCATAGACTTATAGCGACCCCTCCTTGGGTTTCTGAGGCAGTATCACTACAGAAGTAGATTGCCCCATCTTCCTTCCAAGGAATGGCTGGTGGGCTTGAACTGCCAGCCTTCTGGTTAGCAGTCAAGTGCCTTAAGCACTATGCTACCAGAGCTCCCAAGTATGCTGGTATTTTTTTAAAGTTGTGGCTGTTGTTAGGTGCCTTAGAGTAGGCCTGACTCATGGTGACCCAGAGCAATGCCAAGCACAATAAAATGCTGCCCTGGCCCTGTGCTGTCCCCAAGATCAGTTGGAAATCTAACCATTTGGATTCATAGAGTTTTTCTTGACTGTGTTTTGGAGTAGATTGCCAGGTCTTTCTTCCTAGTCCATCTGGAAGCTCTGCTTCAGCATCACAGCAACACATAAGCCTCCAAGGACAGAAGAGTGGTAGTTATGCATGAAGTGCATTGGCCAGGAATTGAACCTGGGACACCCACATGGAAAGTGATAAATCTACCACTGAACCATCATTGCACCCTTTTAAAAGGTACTGCAGGCAATTCCAATGTGTGCCAGAGTTGACCAGTCCCTCTATCCACTATCTCCCTGCTCACTTCCTCTACCTTGTTTCCTACTGCTCTGAGCCTCGCTCACTTCGTCGACACACTTACTGGCCCTTCCTCAAATACCAGTCTTTATCCTGCTGTAAGGCCTCTGCCTTGCTGTTCCCTCTTGCCAAGAATACCCTTCTCCCAGATTTTTTTATGTCTAACTCCTTGTCAGGTCTCAGCTCAAATGCCATCTCAGAAAAGTCTTCCTTCAACTATCTCCTTTGCTTCCAAAAATATTCATTTTTGAATATTTGAATACTATGTGTAGGCACCTTGCTAAGCACTGGTGACACAGCATAGCACATGGAGCATATCTTCTATTGCAGGATAAAGACTAACAAATAAATTAGATGAACTGATACAGAGGAAAGTGCAAGAAAAAAAAAAAAAACAGGGTAAGAGACCAGGAGGGTGCTCTGGAAAGACTTGAGGAAGGGAGAATGGACTGGGGGATAGAGAGTTCCTAGTGAAGGAGGAGAGTTTAGTCCTCTTTATGTCACTTGCCAGCTGTGTGTCCTGGGATTAATTGATTAACCTTGCCCATCTGTGAAGGAAAATAATGATAACTTCTTCCCAGGGTCATGGGAAAATTAATGAAGCTAAACCCTCAGCTCCATGCCTGGCATGGAACCTTGCTTGAAGGAGTCACCTGTCACTTTCATTAGTATTAAGAAGCCAGATTGACCTCTCATTTTGCTGAAGACCCTCTCTAGAGGTGGACAGTTCCCCCATGGACTTCAGTCTGAAACTCCCACCCTCTCAGAAGGAGTCTTTTCCTTCCTTCCTACCTTCATCAGGGTCATCAGCACAGCAAGTGACCAGGAGTTGAGACATAGGTTAGTCACCACAGCCAGCCCACCTTATCACTCCCAGGCCTTTGCCTCCCTTGCACAGGAAATGGGGAATCTGTGATAAGTGGAAATCTCTGCCCAGTGGTCTGAAAAGGGGAACTTTTCTGAGTTATCTGGCTCCAGGCTGGGGTAGAGCCTAGAGGACTGATTTTTAAAAGGTTGCAAAATCAGATCATATACTCCATGACTTCCCTTAAGAGGCCTGGGCTGAACATTTTTCTTCCTCTTGCAGGAGGTTATCAGTGGGTGTCAGGTGGTCTTCTTATCTCTACCTTAGTCACTAACTTGCTATGTGGTTTTGGGTAAGTGACTTGCCCTCTCTGGCCTCAGTTTTCTTGTCTGTGAAATGGTCTGTGAGGCTCCTTGTAGTTCTCACTTCTTAAGAGTTCTCTATGTACATCTTGTCTTCATTCATTAGTGTCAGGTTTATGGGATGCTTTGGCCCAGGATCTCTTCTTCCTTCAGTAGCCAGAAGGTGAATGAGATCACAGCATATCTCTTATTAAAAACCCTCCAATGGCGTTCCATCCCACTTAAAATAAATTCCTCACTCCTTACCTGGCCAAGAGGCCTTGCCTAATCTGGCCCCTGCTTATCTCTCTGTCCTTATCTGGTAGCCACCTAGGGACAGGTGAGTCCAAGGAGTGTTCCAGAGAGAGCAATTGGACTCAGCAAAGGGAGAGCACTGAGATCAGGGTGCTGAGAAGCCTTCAAGGGTAGCTAGATCTTGACTGAGCACCTACTATGTGCTAGGGTCAGTGTCAGGCTGTTTACAAGTATCATCTCCTCCTACGATTACTCCATGAGGCAGCAATTGTGATCCCCATTTTCACATGAGGAAACTGAGGCTCAGAGAGGTGACTTGCCCAGTTGAACCAGGAGTCGAACCCAAGCCTCTCTCTGAAGACACTGTCCAGTGTTCCCTGTGGTGCTCTGATTATAAGGTTTCTAAAATCTGTGTGTGTGAGGGCTCACTGAAGAAAAAGAATTATTGGTGGGATAGGGTCACAGGTTGGGGATATATCCATTTTTCTTAAAAAAGAAATTCCTTTGCTGTTGTTACTACCGTGAGAATACAGCACTTGCACAGATAGCTTCATACAGATGATGTAGCCAGTGTTGGTTTTCCCTCGGGGATAATTTCCCCACAGTGAGACAGCAGATGCTAGTGGGTGTCAAAGGGTATAGCTCTTGCTGTATACCCCCTTTCCCCCCATTCCCACCTTCTTCCATCTGGGCCTCTCAGTCCCTTGCTTGCTATACTAGAAAGATCACAGAAATGTTAGGGCAGCATTCCCAGAGGCACTGGAGAGTCTGGAGGAAGTGCTGAGGTCGGAAAGCAGGACAGTAGGTCAAGGCCATGTTGGGGAAACAAGCCTGGTCAGAGGCCCTCTTAGAATTGCATCCCCTCCTCCAGCAGTGTGTGAGAGAGAGAGACAGAGAGAGAAAGGGAGAGCAAGAGAAAGAGTGCGTGTATATGTGTGTGTGGCGAACTGCTCTAGGGTGGACTATTTTTCATCTTGTTTGTCCTTAGTACCATTTAACTCTTTTAAACCACCAACACACATTACTTTGATGTAAAGGCAAATTAAGCAATCAAAGAACAAAAACCTTGGCTAATTTGATAGGTGAGAAGTGCTCTATAATTAGCATTCCTTTGATTTCTGGCGAGGATGGACATTTTTCAAATGTTTCTGCACCATCTACATTTTCTCTAAACTGTTTTGGCTGCAGCCAGGGAGCAGGGTAATGGTTGTGAGGCTGGCACAGGGAGGCAGACAGATCTTCCTTTAAATCCTGGCTCTGCCAATTGCTTTCTTTCTTTTTTTTAAAATGCATTTTATTGAAATATAATTTATGTACAGTGAAATACACAAAATTAAAGTGACATGGGCCAATGCATTTTTTCCAGTGTTCTCTCCCCTCCCCTCCCACCCTTAGCAACCAACAAAGAAAGGCTCCCTCCATATATAAGCCTTTCCTTGATCCTCCACAACAATGAACTAATACTATATTTGTCCTCCTGTGATTGACTTATGTCACTCAGCATAATGTCCTTCAGGTTCATCCATATTGTGGAGTGTTTTGCAGACTCTACATTATTCTTTAGTGCTGCATAGCATTCCATTATGTGTATGTACAGATGTACCATACTTTGGTCATCCACTCTTCCGCTATAAATCTTAGAGATAAGTCCCTTGCCAGATATGTAATTATCGACAAATATAAATTTGTTGCTGTCATTTTTGTTATGTGCTTTTTTGTGGTGTTGATTTCTTTGTTCCATATAATTTTCTATGCTGAGCTCGTTTTGTTTATGAATCGTGTTATCACTTCCTTCATTGCTATTGTTTTAGTATTTGCTGGTCCTCTCTTTTGATGTGAAGGTTTATCATTTTTCTTTGAGGTTACCCTGTGATTTATAGTTTTCTTCCCAAGTTTAGAACAGTCCGTTCTATCTTATAGTTGTCTTGACTTCCCTATCATCTAGAACTTTTGTAATGACACAGTTTTTTCCCTCTTTTTTGTTTGTAGCTATCCTCATTTGTCAGTTGGTGTCTC